CCTGGAGGACATAGGGAGACAGGGTTTTCAATGTTGAAGAATACATCTATTTCTTGCTATATACCAGTTATATTTTATTCTGGAAAAAAAACAACACTTTCTGTTATCATGGGTACTAAACATACAAAGTTCGAGTTGCCAACTACCTTCTGATAGGTAGTAGTGGATTTACGCGAATAACCAACTGTGTGCCTTGGTCGATGTATGGTGAAGGGTTGTTACCATAATTATTATGGAAACACATATTTTGTTATATAACCGAAACATTTGTTAACCGTTAATATCCATGCAATATCCGAATTACCAACCACATTCTGGTAGGTAGCTGAGGATTCACGCGAATAACCAACAGTACTGTGTGCCTTGGTCGACGTAGAGTGCGGGTTAATACCATTTGGTAGAATTCATCTAACGTGTCATATAATAATATTTTTGTTTTGTTTTGTTTTTTTGTTTTTTTGCTGTTTCGAAATATGTAAATTAGTTTCTTTGTTCCCTCCTTTGTTTTACCTTTAATTTACATTAAATTTTTAAAATTTTCATAAAAATTAGTATGAGGCTGGAGTTTTGCTGCTTTAACATACATTTTTCACATAATTTCCACTAACATTGTTATCTTTAACATGTGAAAATAAGATTAAAAAGACTTGTCTCAAACCATCATTTATCATTAACAACAAGTATTACTAGTAATTTCGCTTACTTACTGTCAATATTAGAACTGCGATTCTATTTAACAAAACATGTTTTTTTCTGGCATTTTTTATTGCCTGTCAACAGTCTTACTTATTTTCTTTTTACTACTCGTTTTTGTAAAATCCTTTATCATAACCCCTCGAGCAAGGATACGAATGTCAGCCATTGTTAAACACTTTAGAGCTATATTAAATTGCATTACTCAATTTCAAGTATAAAGGGACTTCCAAAATGGTTATAAATCAGAGCGGGCGCTGTAGTGCAGTGGTAACACTGTCTGACTACAAATCTAGGGGTTGCGAGTTCGACCCCCCGCTACTCCACTAAAATACAAACAATCTTTCTACTTCACTAAAATACTAACAATCTTTCGTAAATTAATTAATAAAACTACTCACACACTACTCAAATGTTTACACACATAACACTATACACACAACACGAACTCAAGAGACACAACTCACATACTGACACACAGGACACACTGCAACACTGACACACAGGACAATACTGACACACAGGACACTACTGACACACAGGACACTACTGCAACACTGACACACAGGACACTACTGACACACAGGACAATACTGACACACAGGACACTACTAGCAACACTGACACACAGGACAATACTGACACACTGGACAACACTGACACACAGGACAATACTGACACACACTACACTACTGCAACACTGACACACACGACACTACTGCAACACTGACACACAGAACACTACTGACACACAGGACAAAACTGACACGCAGGACACTACTGCAACACTGACACACAGGACAATACTGATTCACAGGACACTACTGACACTACTGCAACACTGACACACAGGACAATACTAACACACAAGAAACTACTGACACACAGGACGCTACTGCAACACTGACACACAGAACAATACTGACACACAGGACAAAACTGACACGCAGGACACTATTGCAACACTGACACACAGGACAATACTGATTCACAGGACACTACTGACACTACTGCAACACTGACACACAGGACAATACTGACACACAGGACACTACTGCAACACTGACACACAAGACAATACTGACATACAGGACACAACTATAACACTGACACACAGGACACTACTGAAACACAGAACACTTCTCAAACACGAACACAGGGTACTCAAACACTGACACGCAGGACATTACTAAAACACTGAAACACAGCACTACTCAAACTGACACGCAGATGCAGCGCTAAAACACTGATACACAGGGCACGTGTCAAACACTGAAACACAGGTCTACTCATACCCTGATACGCAGGACATAATTAAAACACTGGGCACTGCTAAAACACTGATACCAAGAGGATACTTCTCAAACACTGACACGCAGGGCACTATTAAACACTGATACGCAGGGAACTGAAAAGGACACAACTCATACACTGACACACAGGAAACTTCTTACGCACTAGGAAATTGGAACACAAAATAAAATTATATATTTGAAAGAATTCAAAGTCCCTGGCAGGATTCAAACCCACATCGGTGAGGAACACGTGTTTCGAAACTTTACTGGTGAAGGAATACATTAAATGTGTCTTAAGTATTATTTTAAGCGCGTCGAAACACCAATATTCAATAATCTAGTAGTTGGGGATAGCTATGTCATAGATTTCAAAACCCAGGCAAAGTTGTACGAAGTAAGTGTTTTAAAGTCATTGGCCCTAAACATTCGACCAAAACTGCCAATTTAGTTATTTGTATGGAGGTTTAGGGCCATTTTGTTCAATTTTTCCTACTTATATGGCACATTATAATGCCTAGCAGTCAGCGCTACTTACAGGTGATAGGCAATTTACACGCTTTAAATTCGTTATAACAATATTACGTGATATATATATATATATATATATATATATATATATATATATATATATATATATATATATATATATATATATATATATATATATATATATATATATATATATATATATATATATATATATATATATATATGTTTTCTAAAGAAGAAAAATGTATTCATTGCTTGGGCTAAACATGCCTCATTAATGTATGAATTATTTGTAGATAATTCATTATAGACGTATACAGCTGAAAACACAATTATAGCTTGCTTTCCACTTTAGTACCCACATTTTCAGTTTGTCATAAAATTATTTCATTTAAAAGGCAGAATGCAAAATTCGCTTTTTTATTATCATATTACGTTATAAAAAATCATAATATATATAGTGTGTTCTGATTAGTTAATTATCTCGTGGCCACGACTTAGCTATCTCGTTCTCACGACTTAGTAACTCTATGCCACGACATAGTATCTCGTGGCCACGACTTAGCTATCTCGTGGCCACCACTTAGTGGCTCGTGGCCACGACATAGTATCTCTTGGCCATGACTTAGCTATCTCGTTCCCACGACTTAGTAACTCGTGGCCACGACATAGTATCTCGTGGCCACCACTTAGTGACTCGTGGCCACGACATAGTATCTCTTGGCCATGAGTTAGCTATCTCGTTCCCACGACTTAGTAACTCGTGGCCACGACATAGTATCTCTTGGCCACGACTTAGCTATCTCGTTCCCACGACTTAGTAACTCGTGGACACGACATAGTATCTCGTGGCCACGACTTAGCTATCTAAAATTGTTGTCCCTATTTGTCTGGTTATTGTTCTTGTTATTTTTGTAATATGCATGATTCGAAGTCGGAAAAGGAGACAACGAGACACCAGATACAAGCTAACGGAAAGTCAAAGACTTGAAAAAATTCGAAAATCAAAACAAAATGAACACGAAAATATTGACGTCATTTCCTCTACCCCAATCAATCTATATGAGTTAATAAATATGTATGCAAGAATGGATTCGGACAGGAACAGCAAAGAAGGGAGCTCAAAGTCCAGCAAAAGGAAGATGATGCATCAACATCTAAAGAAAGCGAACACTATAACAATCAAAGGGCTGCAAGCTTTGTGGTATTTTCTGATCTTTGTAATCTAAATCGTACTGTAAATCTGTATGTATTTTCCTGTATTAGTTTATTTTTATGTACTATAATTCATCTTGCAAGGCACCAGAGTTTGATACATACGGAATTTTGCATAACTAGAGTTGCATCAAAAAATCATTTATGTTCATTTTTTATGACAGCCACACTTTATCCTTGCATATCATGGCTACTTCTTTAACAAAGACACTTAAAAAAGAATTTAAAAAAAAATTGCCTCGACTGGGATTTGAACTTCAGACCTCTCACACACGAAACGAGCGCGTTACCCCTGCACCACGAAGAAGTTATACAAACAATGCCTGAATAAAATCAAGTCATTCTAAATTTAGAACTTCCATTGCATTTCGGGTTTGTAATCCTTATTAATTTCGAGGTATTTTGTTCAGGATAAACCTGTTGTTTAAAATTGAAGTAAATAATTTAGCGAAAATCTTCTCGCCCAAACAGTCCGACATGTAGAATCTATATATTCCACTACTCGGCAGTCAGATTTATTTGTGTAGTATTCGGTAATCGACATCGCTAAAAATAGCATTTTCATTGATTAAAATCATATTCATCCGCGTAATTTGTGATTGTGCATTTATTGACAATTCTATAAGCCAACGCTACTTTTAAACTTTGAATGCGTTGTAATTTGTTGGATACTTGTAACAAAATAAAAATATTTCTTTCTTTTAAATCGCTAGTTTTAAGCTGTTTTGAGAACTACTTGTTGTTAGGTCTGTCGTGAAATTCTGTGTCAGAGATTGAATGTCCGCTTTGTTTTTTACTGATCTTCGATCAGAAAATACAAAAATCATTTAATGAACCGTCAGACAATTAGTTTATTATATAGGACAATAAGTTGACCTTTAAAGGACAATTAGTTGACCTTTATAGGACAATCAGTTTACCTACAGAGTGCAATAAGTTTACCTATATATGCCATTTAGTTTCCCTATATAAGGCAATCAGTTAACATATACATGTACATGTATATAGGACAATACGTGTATTCAACCATGTATAGGACAATAAGTTTACATATATAGGTATTAACTCTCCAAAAAAGCATACATGACAAAGTAATTGTGTCTGAAGATATGCATGCTTTGTATGTATACGTTAAATAATATATAGAGGATATTGAATGAGTGTAGGTTTAATACTAAATTTATTGAACGAGTTGAATAAAATCATATTATGCGAGCCTCTGGCTCATGGCACTTATTCATGGCAGGAAGTAAATTGCGAGCATAGTTAAAATTAAAGAATAAATCAAATATCATTAATAGTACTTACATTGACAGAAAATCGCCAGTAGAAACAAATTTAGAATTAAGAACTCCATATTTTGTTGTTTTAAAACAGAGTATCGTCAAATTTGTATAACGGAAGATCGCAAATTATTTTTGGCATAGTTCCAACCGGCCTCTTCTTTTGATGTTACGTGCAATACGATATATGCCTCATTAATTAGTAAAATAGCTATTAGCCATGTCGATCTTCCATACCTGTTCTATTTATATCAAAAAGCGTGAGTAATTGAAAAGACTTTTGAATTTATGATTTGATAAGCTTTAGCATTGAGTAAGTTTTCAAACATTTTTTATCAAAAACAATGAATAAGCAATATCTAAGCATCACGAAGATTTTGTATTGATAATTTATGACAAGATATAAAATATAGGATGACATTGAAATAAAAGAAAATATAATGTAAATGAAAAATGAAATAGTTGAATACAGTACGGAGACTTTCCTCTAGAAAAACTTTCAAAATAACAAGAGGGCCATGATGGCCCTGAAGTCGCTCACCTGTATATAGGCCCCCGGAGCGGGGCCAGTTTAAACCCCAGGGCTTTTATTTGAACACACTTGGTAGACACCCATTAGAAGATATTTCATGCTTAACATCTAAGGTCTAGCTGGTTAAGTTTTTTTCTTTACACATATAGTTAAAAACAATGACACACCTGGGGCAGGGCCAGTTTTGACCTAAGGGCTTTTATTTGAACAATCTTTGTAGACACTTACTAGAAAATGTTTCAGGCTTAATATCTAAACTCTAGCTATTCGGGTTTTTTCAAAGAAGACTTTTAAGTTTTTGCTATACACATATAAGGAAAATCAATGTCAGCCCGGGCGGGGCCAATTTTGACCCCAGGGCTTTTATTTGAACAAACTTGGTAGACATCCATTAGAACATGTTTCATGCCAAATATCTAAGCTCTAGCTCTTTGGGTTTTTTAGAAGAAGATTTTTAAGCTTTTTACTACATGCATGCATATAGGAAGAATCAATGACCCCCTTAGGCGGGGCCAATTTTGACCCCAGGGCTTTTATTTGAACAATCTTGGTAGACACTCATTAGAAGATGTTTCATGCCTAATATCTTAGCTCTAGCTCTTTGGGTTCTTTAAAAGAAGATTTTTTAAAGTTTTTACTATATGCATATAGGGAAAATCAATGACCCCCTGGGGCGGGCCAATTTTGACCCAAGGGCTTTTATTTGAACAAACTTGGTAGACACCAAGTAGAAGATGTTTCATGCTAAATATCTTAGCTATAGCTCTTTGGGTTCTTTAAAAGAAACTTTTTTAAGTTTTTACTATATGCATATAGGGAAAATCAATGACCCCCTTAGGCGGGGCCAATATTGACCCCAGGGCTTTTATTTGAACAAACTTGGTAGACATCCATTAGAACATGTTTGATGCCAAATATCTAAGCTCTAGCTCTTTGGGTTTTTTAGAAGAAGATTTTTTAAGTTTTTACTATATGCATATAGGGAAAATCAATGACCCCCAGGGGCGGGGCCAATTTTGACCCCAGGGCTTTTATTTGAACAAACTTGGTAGACACTCATTTGAACATGTTTCATGGTTAATATCTTAGCTCTAACTCTTTGGGTTCTTTAAAAGAAGATTTTTTAATTTTTCAATGACCCCCTGGGGCGGGGCCAATTTTGACCCCAGGGCTTTAATTTGAACAAACTTGGTAGACAGCCATTAGAAGATGTTTCATGCTAAATATCTTAGCTCAAGCTCTTTGGGTTCTTTAAAAGAATTGTTTTTAAGTTTTTACTATATGCATATAGGGAAAATCAATGACCCCCTGGGGCGGGGCCAATTTTGACCCCAGGGCTTTTATTTGAACAAACTTGGTAGGCACCGATTAGAAGATGTTTCATGCTAAATATCTTAGCTCTAGCTCTTTGGGTTCTTTAAAAGAATTTTTTTTAAAGTTTTTACTAAATGCATATAGGGACAATCAATGACCCCCCACAGGCGGGGCCAATTTTGACCCCAGGGCTTTTATTTGAACAAACTTGGTAGACATCCATTAGAACATGTTTCATGCCAAATATCTAAGCTCTAGCTCTTTGGGTTTTTAGAAGAAGATTTTTTAAGTTTTTACTATATGCATATAGGGAAAATAAATGACCCCCTGGGGCGGGGCCAATTTTGACCCCAGGGCTTTTATTTGAACAATCTTGGTAGGCACTCATTAGAAGATGTTTCATGCTTAATATCTTAGCTCTAGCTCTTTGGGTTCTTTAAAAGAAGATTTTTTTATATTATATGTTATTTTGGTTTTGGAGTGATATATGTGGATATATTACCTGTTAAGATTTTATATCACCCGAGCCGTTAGGCGAGGGTGATATTTTATCTTGGCAGGTAATATATCCACATATATCACTCCAAAACCAAAATAATAATTTTACCCTTCCCCTGCCGAGTTTAGACGATTTTTTAAAAAATCATTGCTGTTTCAAATGATTCGTCGAAATTAGATTCCCTTTAGGGTACCTCTTCGTCACAACATGACGTCACATAAATACATGACGTATTTTTCCCGTACCTAACAAATGTAAACGAGAGAAAAGGAATAGTCTATTAATCGCACTTTTTTGTAATTAATATCAAGCTTTCACAAGGTCATATTTGTTTTCGATACTGATGGTAATATGTATCATTACTCTACTTTGGTAAATATTTATCATTTGACAGTTAAAAAGTGCTTTTAAATCGGAATTTACACCGCGTAAAATCGAACCGTACGCGCATCACTTCAGCGCATGTTGTTTACAACGTTGGGTATCCAACGGGGAAATTTAGTGTGTATATTACCCGTCTGGCTCGGTTATATCAATTTCTTTCGGGTGATCAATATCCAATCAAAAAGGCGGAACAAATCTGGAAGGGTAATAAAAGTTTTTACTATATGCATATAGGGAAAATCAATGACCCCCTGGGGCAGGCCAATTTTGACCCCGGGGCTTTTATTTGAACAATCTTGGTAGACACTCACTAGAAGATGTTTCATGCTAAATATCTAAGCTCTAGCTCTTTGGGTTTTTTAAAAGAAGATGTTTAAAGTTTTTTCTTTTGGTTGCCATGGCAACCAGAGTTCTGCATGGAATGAAATTCTTTGAACAAGTTTGTTAAGGCTTCACACAAGGAACATCCCTGTGAAGTTTCATTATGAACTGCCTTATGGTTTCAGAGGAGATGTCGTTTGAAAAGTGTGAACGGACAACGGACGACGGACGACAGACGACGGACGAAGAGCACCCTGAGCTTATGCTCAGGTGAGCTAAAAAAATATATTTCAAAGTAAGGTATTTGTTAAATAGGGCGTGTCACACACATTCCACAATCTTCAGCACTCACGTTATATGTCTCGTTCCTCTCACCTCGCTAAAATATCCCAATTTCCTACGCAGTGATCTCCCCTTATCAGTACAATTCTGCCAAGGGAGGTAATCACTGTGAGGAGTTTGCATTTGGTTATGTTAAGTTACAGAAATTAAGGGAAGTAATGTACACCAAACCTGTTATAATGTGTACTTTGTTGTTTTTTCCCTTTGCCCATTTAGTCTAGCGACAGCCATAATATTCTTTTAATCTACCGACGTGTATTATTTACAAAAAGAAATTACCGAGAAAGTCATAATAGAAATATGTTGATATGTGGTTATGTACATCATTATTTGTGTAGAAAAATTAAACTTTCACTTAACTGCTTGCTGATTGCATACATTTCAATAATGTAAAGCATAAGCAAATAAGGATTGACATATTATAACAAAATATGACTTTATTGGAAAATAAGTGAAACATATGTCATATTCGATCTATAATTTTATAAATTTAAACAATAATATTGTTGCTAGACATAAATTCTTAAAGATACGTTACAAGTATACATTTGAAATTTACATATATACATGTATATAGTTCTCAAAATGTGACTTTATATAAATACCTCTGCGGTATGCAATATCACTAATAACATTACTCAAAACGTATTAAAAAAGTTTTCCCGATTACTTAAACAGCAATGCGTTTATATCACTTTTAATGCAACCATATTTAGAATGAAAACATCTCTGATTTAAAGTCATGGAATAAGATGTTCGTGAAGTTGGCAGCCTAGCAGCCTGGCAGCCTAGCAGCCTAGCAGCCTAAAGAAAACTAAGAATAGTACAAACATGAAAACCGTCGCAAATACATTAGTAACACTTCTTTAGATCATTCCACGCCTTTTTCAATATCGTGATCTTTATTTTTTAAGATGTTGAACTTTATCTTAACATATTTTTTTTTCATTCTGACGCTTCGAAATTTGTAAAGTCAGCAGCCTATCAGGATAGTACAAACACGAAACCCGTCGGAAATGAATCGGTAGCACATACTTAGTCCATTCCACGTCTTATTTCAGTATCGCGTACTTTATTTTTTTAAATATTGAACTTTTTTTTTTGACACTTCGAAATTTGTGAGGTTAGCAGCCTAGCAGCCTGGGAATAAGATATAACATCGTTCGTCAAAATTGTCTATTTTTCGTGATTGTATTTTCTTGAATACAAACGAAGTAAGTCTTTACTTGCATAACTATCCGATCCCGGAGGGAGAAAAGAAACAGTATTTCTCAGGAAAATGTGTCCAAAAATATATTTTCATTAACTGTCTGTGATATTAATAAATATATACACGAAGATTTAATTATATAATACACTAAATGATATGTTTATACGATCGTTTATAGAAACGTCCATTTTCATTTCATACGCATAAGACCTTTAAGGAATTTTAATTACTTAAAATGTTCAGGCAGCAAAAAAAAAAAAAAAAAAAAAAAAAAAAAAAAAAAAAAAAAAAAAAAAAAAACAACAACAACAACAAAACAACAACACTTAATAATAACTAAAATGGCTCAACATTGCCTTGTACATATTCAAAAGTAAAAATGCCCAATGTTTAAAGCACGTCTAAGATGTCGATTTCGTTTTCATATTATTTGTTGTTCATATGAGCCGCGTCATGACAAAACCAACATAATGCGTTTGCGACCAGCATGGATCCAGACCAGCCTGAGAATCCGCGCAGTCTGATCAGGATCCATGCTGTTCGCTTACAAACCCTATTACAAG